CACACACACACACACACACACACACACGCTCAAGCTCGCTCGGTGCCGTCCATCTTCTGCACCATTGCGCACGCCCACCCATCAACCATGATGCCCATGCAACCCCCGCCCCAACCACCACACCAGCACTTCAACCCCAATCCTGCCGCCATGAACCAACGACAGCAACACCAACAGCAGCAGCGCTACAACCAAGCCTCCGCTTCCTCCATGGGCTTCTATCCTCCCAACGCCGTCAATGCGCACGACTCCTACCAAGCCTCCCTGCCGCCCGCGTCGCCGCAACCCGTGTACTCCTCCCCACACGCTGCGCCCTCCATCCAGCTCCACGATGCCCCGCCAACAAATCCACCCTCGTCGTCCAACACCACCCACGACGCCTCCTTCGCCTCCTCCACTTCCTCCTCACTCCCCTCCTCCTCCAGGCTTCGCCGCGTACGTCCAGACACAGAGGAGATCAAGCGCGTCGGTCGCTCCCACTACGTAGAGCTCCTCGGCTTCCTCCGCACCCACCTCGCCAAAGTCGAACAGACCGCACCACGCTCCAACGCACGCGAAAAACTTACCCGTCTCAGCAAGCAGCAGTTCACAGAGCTCTCCACAGACGTCTACGACGAGCTCATGCGCCGCCAAAACAGCGCAAAGGATGCCACCACACAGCCCTTCCTCGCCGTCCGCGACGAGTTCCATCCAAAACGCAATCAGGCACGCCAAAAGCTCGCCACCTTGCCCAAGAATCGTTTCAAGGACCTCGCCTCGGACGTGTTCTTCGAGCTCGAACGCCGCTTCCCCGAGCTCAAGCACGAGTTTCGTCCAGAGGCCATCGCACGCGAACGGGCACGTGAACAGCAGATGCGCGACGAGGCCGAAGCTGCCCTACAACGCAAGGACTCGGTGGGCCAACCACAACCCTCCACCTCGGACCGCATCGTGCCCGCCAAGAGCACGCTCGTCGAGGAGGACATCGCCGTGCCGTACTCGGCCAACGCATCCAAGTCGGGCCTGCGCAGCGCCGACACCGACGCCGCCTCCGAGAGGGTCTCGTCGCCGCTGCGCGACTCGATCGGCTCCAACGGCCTCAACGGCATCCCCGACAACCGCAGCACCATGTACAGCCAGGCGAGCAGCGTAGGCACCGGCTTCTTCAACGGATACACCGGCAGCACCGTCGCAGGCAGCATCGCCAGCCCCAACCTCGGCCGCTCCAGCGCATTCGAGTCGTCCGACGCCTCGTCGGCCATGCTCGAAAAGATGCGCTCCGACTACGAACTGCGCATCGCCAAGCTGCAACAGCAGGTCAGCTCGCTCGAGGCGCAGGTGGCCGAGGCGGGCACACGCGTGCGCAACGCAGACGAGCTCGCCGGCCGCAACGAAGAGCTCGACCGCCAGCTGAGCCAGCTGCGCAAAGAGCTCGACGAAGCCAAGCAGAAGCACGACGACCAGCGCGACCAACACCGCGAGCTGGCATCGCAAAAGGACTCGGAGCTCGAGTCGGTCAGGAGAGAGCTCGCCGAACGCGCCACCATCGGCGGGCCCGCCGACTTTGAGGCGCTGCAGAAGGAGCATGCGCAGCAGGCCGAGGTGGTGGGCGAACTCAAGCAAGAAGTGAGCACGCTGCTCGAGGAGCTTCGCCAGCTCTCGGCACGCCACGAGGAGATGCAGGCGGATCGCGACAACGACGTGACGGTGATCAAGGACCTCAACGCGCAGATGGCCAACTACAAGCGGCTCTACGAGACGGCCAAGACGGAGCTGCGCAATCTCAAGGCCACCTCGCAGCTGTACGTGCAGCCGCCCAAGGCGGACGACTTCCTGGCGGCGTCGGAGCGAGGCGCGATCGCCGACGTCAACCTCACGGCGTTCCAGAGCTCGATCGACGAACTGCTCGCAGCGGCGCGATCCAAGACGCCGGGCAATGTGCTGCTTTCGATGAAGACGGTGGTGCTCGCCACGACGCTCGTCACCGACGATGTGGCCAAGTACGAGCAGGTGCCTGCCAACGCGGCGGAGCTGTCGGGCGACGAGCAGGAGCAGCTGATGGCGCTCAAGTCCAAGTGCTCGGCCACGCTCAACAACCTCATGACGGCGTGTCGCAACCACGCCTCGTCGCACGGCCTGTCGCCCGTGAGTCTGCTGGATGCGGCGGCGAGCCACGTGTCGGCGACGATTGTGGATCTGGCGAAGCTGCTCAAGGTGCGCAAGGCGAGCAAGAGCGAGGCGGACGAGTTCCAGGCGAGGTTCGGCGAGGATGCGGCGGCGGCGGGGCGGCTCAAGCCGCTGCACATCAATGCGCAGGCGGCGAGCCGCGATGCGAGCGCCACGCTGTCGCCCAACACGGCCAACACGTTTAGCTTTGCGAGTCTCAACCCGAGCGACGATCGTTTCTCGCCGCGCATCCGCAACAGCCCGACCATGGGGCGCTACTCGCCCATCGGATACAAGGCCGAGACCATCCGCAAGGAATCGGGCGGCGACAGCCAGTGGCGCAGCCGTGCCACCTCGTTCTCGTCCACGGGCAGCGCCGGTGCCAATCTCAGCACGCCCAGCATGGCTGCAATGCCCGAGATGCCCAGCCTGGACGGAGCCAAGCGATACATGGCGGACGTTTCGACATTGTCGTCGTCGTCGGCAGCGACAGCAGCGGCAGGCAACGGCAATGGCAACGGCAGCAAGGACGTGGCTGGTGGTGTCAACGGTGGGGCAGCGGTGACGGGGTCGCCGCAGACGAGCGACAGCCAGGTGCAGAGGTCCGAGACGTACGACAGCCTGCACACGACGACGTCGGCGAGCGGGAGCGGATTTGGAAGCCATTCGGGCGAGGAGAACTGGACGGAGCTGCGCAACTACATCGAGGTGCAGACCGAGGCGATTGTGCATTCGATCCAGGCGCTGCTGTCTGCGATCCGCGAAGGAGCGCAGGGTGTGCAGCTGAGCGAGAACCTCACGCAGATCACGACGATTGTGTCGTCGATTGTGGCGATCTCCAAGGGCAACCTGCCTGCCAAGAGTCGTGCCGAGGGCGAGCGCATCCTGGACGAGCTGACGGACAACTGCGACCAGCTGAGCGAGATGCAGAGCCACCCGACGTTCGACAAGAGCACCAAGTCGAGTATGGCGAGTGCGTCGTATGGGGTTGCCAAGGGTCTCAAGGCGCTCAATGTGCTCTTCAACGAGGCGGATGCGTCGCAGTAGTCGCCCCGCTAGCATTGGTCTGCAATGATACCCCCACCATTTTCGTTCGGTGACGGCGCTGAGTGTGGATCGGGCAGCCGATGGGGAAGAAGAGCGTACTTTTTTGGGGGGAGGATCGGTGTTAGAGTGGATGAGCGAGGAAAAGCGCGGGGTGCAGGGGCGATTGGCAGCCGGCATCGGCGGCGGCTTTGGTGCATCCACGCGCCATTGCAGCAGAGGCGGCGCCGAGGCTCGGATTACGTGGTGCACGCCTCGATGCAGCCGGGCATGCTGCACGCCCTCCCTTCCCTCGCCTCGCCTTTAGCTTCATCAGCGTTGTCCCCTCTCCTTCTCACACTCTCTCTGCGTCTCTGGCAAACTGGAACAGACGTCCCGAATGAGGGCAGCAAGGCGCTACCGTATCTGTGGTACGAAAGGAGGATCTGGGTGACTTTAGACCACCAAGGTCCGAACCAAAGAAAAAGCGAGAGTGACGGACTGCATGAGCTCGCTAAGTGAGAAGAGTGACCGCATTGCTGCAGCGACCGACACCACCGCACCGCCCCTCCACCTGGGCTGCAGCCGCCCTTTTTTTTCGGGAAGCAGAGCGCAGCGCATGCAGGCACAACACCGGCACTCCTCCGGCTCTCCTTCTCTCGCAGGGATCGGCGGCGGCGCAATCCTCACCTAGAGAGCACACACCTTTGTCACACGCACACACTCTCACTCTCACTCTCACTCTCACTCTCACGCCTCAGCCGTCCAATCTAGCAGAGAGGATTATCGGTACAGCACCGCTTGGACAGACGCGCTATCACCAACTCTTCGCCTTCGCCTTCGCCTTCTCGTGTACTACCAACTCCTCCTCATCCTCATCCAACATCAACTCTCGCTCGCCGTCAAAGGAACAGACTACAGCCCGCATATACCACAGTGTTCGTCCACTTGGCAACACCTCCATGACATCCTGAAGCCGCTTCCACTTCATCCACCTTCGCAGCGCCCCACCTTACGCCGTTCGGGCCTAGCTGCCCTGCGTGCTCGCCCACACCATGTCCGCGCAGAAGGACTTCATCCTCTTCGACGATCCTGCGCCCTCGGCAGCACGCGCCGACTCTTTCAGGCCCCTCCCCTCCGCAACCGCACAGCTCCCTCCACCCAGCTCCTTCACAAAGCATCGCTCGCCCAGGCAGTCTCCCGCGTTCGACGATGGCGCTCCACCCGCGCCCGACGCTCTCAACGATGCTGCTGGCCCGCGCCGCAAGCGTCAGAGGAGCGACGCTTTCGCCCATCCTCCCAACTCCACCACCTCACACCACGCACTTGCTCCCAACCAACGCATCTCGCCGCCCAGCGGCAGCCTCGGCGCTCCCATGCACGATCTCTCCCTCGGCGACTCGCTGCCTCTCTACGACCGCACCGCTTCATCCTCCGCCTTGCCTTCCCCAGCTTCCACCGCCGCCATGTCCCGCGAGCAGCAGGAACGCGTAAAGGCGCAGATCCGCGCAGAGCTCGCCGGCGTCGACACCCGCGCCTTCAAAGGTCCCCTCCGCGACATCCTCCAAAAGCAAGACTACACTCCCAGCCACAACGACATGCAGACCAGCCCGCTCTCGGCTTCCAGCGACCCCATGCAGGCTGGCGTCGCCCCCTCCTTTAGCCTCTTCCCAGACTACGACATTGGCGGCTCCCGTTCCCGCAGCCACTCCACTCACAATGGCAGAGCCACGCCCCAGGAGAACCCCAACGCAGCAGACCAAGACATGCCGCCTCTCCTCAGCCAGCGCTCCTCCGACATGCGCACAAAATCTGGCAACATCGATCAAGGCTTCGGCCCCATGTCCTATCCTCCCGCCCGCCACTCCCAAAACATCCTTCCCGACTGGGCACGCCAGTCGCACTCCACTCAAATCTCGCGCGAGCAACACTCTCAGTTTTCGCAACAACGGCCCTACATGCCGCCTCCCGCACTCTCCCAGAGCCTGCTTGCTCAGCGCGGAGGTCCAGTCTCCATGCCCTCCACCGAGCCTGCCCTCAGTGCAAACTACGCCGAACCTCGTCGTCCGCTCAAGCGCGAGTCCAGCGGCCTCACCGTCAGCCCGCAGGAAGCCTTCCTCGACTACGACCACGTCGAGAACCACCTCTCCCACTCGGGCCTCGGCAAGATGCCCAGCCTCTTTGCATCCGTACCCCCAGGACTCTCCGACGCAAAGCTGGCGCCCATGCGCGCATCCGCAGGCGCTCAAACTCCGCGTATGCCGTCGCAGCACAATGCTCCGCGCGCACGCTCCTCCACAGACGAGGCCGTCTACGCCGCACGCCCAGTCGCCATGACTCGCAACGACACCGCCCGTCCGCATCACTACCAGAAGCGCCCGGGTCCCAGCGTGCACCAGAGCCCCGCCGGTCGCTCGCCCTATCTCAACCAGAGCGACGGCCGTGGATCAGCCAGCCAAGAGTCGGGCTCCCAAAGCAGCCTCTTCAGCCCCGTCGACAGCGGCGACACCATCTCCACCGACGACGACGAGGACGAGCGCCCCTACTATCCGCCCAACATGCGCCCCAGCATGATCCGCGGCGGCCCCAGCAGCCTCTATCTCAATTATCCCGTCAAGGGCGATGGG